AAAGGAGTTGAAAGTAGGTCTTCATTTTGCAGTCATCATCTGTACGAATTCTGAAAAGAAATAATCAGAACGTTCCGTTATCCTCAAAAACAGCTTGAAAGAGCAAAAACACGTTTGCTCTGCTTAAGATCAAACCAGTGATGTCTAACAAAGGAGGCCCCTTGTTTCTACAGACTCCAGTCTATGAAAACTGAGCTCAAGAGATCGTGTAGGGCGTTACCTTCATAGTTGACCTGTCCATCCCCGTCGATGTCTGCTTCTCTGATCATTTCATCTACTTCTTCATCTGTTAGTTTTTCTCCTAAGTTTGTCATGACATGACGCAGCTCTGCCGCACTGATGTAACCATTGCCATCCTGAGAACAATCAGCGATTCCTCGGTTACTGACAGGGGTTCCGTGTGGGCAGGGAAGTCTGTTACTTAATTATGCCTGTGCACAAAATAACTGCCAAATCCACTCGGATCTGAAATCTCCCCACTGAGTAGCTAACACAGAAAATACGGGAGGGCTCCTCAAAGACGAAAGGAAATGGAGATAACACAGCAAGAGACGTGGCTCAAAACTTCTCTAGCGATTAGGTAACTGAGAATAAAGTCTAGATATCTGAAAGTGAGACTTCAGAGGTTCAGGCAGTGAAGACAGGTAGTCTGCTTGTTAACACTGGTTAGAGATAGCTCAAAGAGCCCCACTTTAATACACCCTGCAGGGTTTACCTTGTCAAAGACTCGGAACGCTTCACGGATTTCTTCTTCACTGTCTGTGTCTTTCATTTTTCTAGCCATCATAGTCAAAAATTCTGGGAAGTCAATGGTGCCATTGCCTAAAATGGGAAAAACAAAAAGCTCAAACATTAAGCTCCAGGGACGCTTCCAAGGTAACTGTAGAGCCACCTTACAAGATGGTAAGTACTTGTTCAGACAGTCAAATTCTTTTTCTCAAGATTAAGCTATGCAGTGCTGCTGTTCTTACAGGGTTATAATGTTCAGTATTTCCCATACAGTCCCTCAAGATTCAACCTAAAAACCAGTGTCCACAGTAGCATTTAATGAAACAAAGGAATTAAGAGTCCCTGGACTTGTGATCATTGTAGAATGAGGGTGGACAAGCCAAGAAAGAGCCAAAGCGGGCTGCAGGCTGGACCATTCTAGGAGGAGGCAGCACCAGAACGCACCCACCCACCCCCTTAAGTAAGAGAGCTCCCTTGGGTCTTCTCTGCCATGGTTACTAGAGTTAAGGGCCTGAGGTGGCCTAGAAATGGGCCACAAGTGGCCACACCAAAACGTTTAGAGGTGGATTTTGAGGGGAAAAAACCGACTGCGTCACGTAATGGCCATAAAGCCTCGGGAAACTTTTCCAGGGCATTTCTCAGCTGTTAACACAATGCTAAGTCACTGAACTGTTTTCTCTCCCAACTCAGCTGTTATTTCCCACTGAGGTCACATGTTTTCACAGCTCAGACCACTAACATTTAACAAACCAGGACAGGAGAACCTATTCCACATCCAGTACTCCAAACAGCTCCTTCTCTACGACTAAGTCCGAGGGGAAAATCCCACAGACGAGGCACTAGATTAACAGTGCAACCTGAATAACTTGGAAACAAAACCAGAACACACCTAAAACCTTGGCTTATGTTGTTTGCACCAACACTTTAAAATGCAAACACTGTAAGGGTCCCTGAAGGTGAGTCCTTCATTAGCCTCCAAACGTTAATATTCACACAGGACAAAAAGAAAATGATCTATGACACTTCAAGGGGAGCTCTGGTAGCCTAGTGGCAAGAAGCTGCACTGCAATCCCAGAAGCGCATGGTTCAAATCCACCAGATGCTCTGCCGAGGAAGGAGGGACAATCTCCTCCTGTACCAGTCAGATCTGATTTGACGGTACACACACAAAAAAATAAAAAAATTAAAAATTACAAAAAAAAAAGGAAAGTGACACTTCAGAAAAGACGCCCTGTGTACTATCTCATCTATTCAGTACAAACACTGGCTTCTCAATCCGACACCACTCCCCATGGTGGCCCACTGTGGCCAACACACTTTTCTAGTAAGGCTGCTTCTAGGGTTTATACATCAAAAACAGTGCCGGGCCCACGCTCCCAAATCAAGGATCATTTTAGCCATCAAACTCGAGAAGCCCAGTGCTTTCCCCCCAAAATCTTAATGCCAATCACAATTTAGCAGTCACTTGAATCTGAAACTTTTCCCCAAGAGCTTAGTTGAAATCCTTGGGCTTCTTTCTGAGTGTATCTGTCAATTGTGTTTGCCCTTCTCTACCACCATCACACCCCACCCCCAAGCCTTGTGTGAGCCTCAAAACCGCCTTCACCAACACATCGACAGCCCCCACTGTACCCAGCCGTATGTTAGCATCGGCGGGTGCTCTTCACCCACTTTCCTTGGGGTTTAACTCTGAGAAGACAGTCACCCACTCTTGCTTTCCTCTGCCATCGTGTTCATGCGGCCCCAAGTTTTGTCTTCACTATGTCTTTTCTCATAAGACTTTCACAATAAAGATCTTCCCAGCCAAGAAACAAAAGAACCGTCCCACTCCTCAGTGGATCCTAAGGAAAAGTGGCGATAAAATCAGGTACCACTCCGAGAGAAGACAGCGGACCAGAACCAAGCTGCGTCTCTAGGAGCTGTACACACGAAGAACATAGAGCACTGCAGCATGTCAAGCTGGCTGACGTGCCGCCGTCTCAAGTTTAAAATTACGTCACCACCTGATCACTTCCCATGGAATCCACATCTTCAAAAAATATATGGGACACATGTGCTATCTACTTCCTAAACAACATGCTTCCGGAAATTCTATGAATTTTTTTTTTTGGCATATTTTTCAATGATGATGATGATTCATTTTAATCAAAATTTAGCGATTTTGGATTTCCACTCATTCATTGTTTCCCTTTTCTCCCTGCTCACTCCTTCCCTCCAATTCGTTCTTCTCTTTGAAAAGTAAAATTCTTTCATTGTTATACAATCACTCCCTCCAAGTCCACTCCACTATGCAGCCTTCGTTCTGGACTCGTGTTATGAGAAATGTCGATAGTTGTAGAGGAATTTCAGGCCTTCTGTTCACAGGGTTGCTATAAGCCATGTTTAAAGTAATTCAACAACAAATGGTGCTGGGGGGGGAAAAAAACAAGTACAGTAACCCATAATCCCTTAGTCAATTCCTACTTTAGGTGACAAGACTGGAGAGAGTCTCACAGGGTTTCTGAGGCTGTGAACCTTTACTGAAGCAGGCTGTCTCATCTTTCTCCCACTGACTGGGTGTGTGGTGGATTCAAACTGTCAGCCTTCTGGTTAGCAGGCGAGAGCTTACCCTCTGTGCCACCAGGTTTCCTTTAAGAGACAATAAGCTTTTTATGAAGTAGGGCCGCAGTTGCTTATTGATACTTCCCTGACAGGGCTTAGGGCAGACTCGTGGGCCAGTTCACAAAGACTGAGCTGTAAGTCATGGCACAAGGAGGAGGGAACAATACAGCCATTTGATTCAGGAAACAGACAGGATCTTCCTATTCTAATCGCCAGTGGCCATGAGACAACCACGGAAAGGTTCTCTGCACATGTGCTTTGCTCTGAGGACCTGAGATAATCTCCTAACACGTCTGAACTTGACTTACACAAAGCCCGTGCCCAATCCTAGTTCAAAGCCTTACCGTCGGCATCCACTTCATTGATCATATCCTGTAATTCCGCTTCTGTTGGGTTCTGACCCAGTGACCTCATGACGGTTCCAAGTTCCTTTGTTGTGATGGTGCCGTCACCATCCTTATCAAATAGGGAGAAAGCTTCCTTGAATTCTGAAAATAAAAATGTACCCTTTAGAATGATGCCTTTACTCAGTACAGCCACCTTAGATATGCTGCCCTTGGGCAGCAAAGCCAGCCAGCCAAGCTGGACAAGTTACTGGCAAGCGCTTGGTCTTTTCATCTACGGAAAGACCACTGGAGCAGGAATCCTGTCACACTGGCCTTCATAAAAGATCCATAAATCATTGTTCCTGATGGCCAACTCCATCAAGCCACCGTACTCTCCCAATTCCAATGAAAGCTAAGGTCTTAGGTCCATTCACATTTGGGAGTGTGGCCCACATGTTCTCTGAAGGTCTTAGAGCCCCAGGAATTCTCTACAGAAATTCTCTAGAGACAGCCACATGGTTTCTACAGCCATGAGAATTCCTTGTTTCCTAGCAACACAAATAGGCCAATCAAGATGTACGTTCCCAAGTAGCCTGCACCTCTCAACAGTCCTCATGGTATTTTAAAAGCACTTTTCATTTCAGAAGAGGAAACTTTCTCTAAATAAGTCCGCCAGGGAATAATGAAAGCTAACATTTAAACTAACAGAACTTGTGCTCCAGATTATGACATTGGACTTCTCATACATGTTCCTTGAACTTCGAACAAGAAGCACAAGTTTCCACGGGTGTCTACGAGAACTGCAGCGTAAGACTGTTAAAGTACATTTTTGGGTAAGCAAGCCCACTTTCAAAGGGCAGGCATGCCTAATTTCACTTCCTTTCACGCCCATCACCCAAAGACCAGCCGGGCAGACGAACGCCTGACTTGACCATTTCCCACTGTTCTCCTATGACCAAATTTTTAAAGACATCGACTTAGACTCCAGGGCGAGGGAAAGGCATCACCAAAACGCAGCAGGGCACCTGTTTCTGGCCTCCGAGGTCAGCCACTTACCAGCGATCTGTTCTTCGGTCAGCTGATCAGCCTACATGGAGAGAGAAAAGGCTGTCAATGCAGTTCCTAGCTGTAATGTTGAGATTTACACAATTTTCCAATTACACTGTGGACTCTCAAAAGCCAAACTAAAAAAGGAGTAAAATTAAAATAAAATAAAAAAGAAAGAAAGAAAGAGAAAAACTTAGCTATTTTAACTTAAGAGGAAAAGAAAACCCTGAATAATGGGCAATCTTTTATTCAATTCGTATGCAAAGGCTGTCCAGGGAGGGGCAGCCCTGTGCGCCCCAGGTCTTCTCTCTGGGGCCTGGGGCGCAGTGAGGTCTACTGAGGGTCTGTGCACACTGGGGAAAACTGCACCTCTAGTGGCTGCGGGCCCAGGGGTGCGGGCTGCAGCGGCGCGCTGAGGGCGAGCGCCACCTACTGCACCACAAACGCCGTCGCAGTCCCCACCTGCATGCGTGAAGGGACCCAGCCCTACCCTGGTGCTGCCACCCCAGCTGGCCGGCTGGCCACCAGGATCTGTGGATCGCGTCCAGGGTCAGGCTGGGAGCGCACCTTGCGCATTGCTGCTGCTGCCGCCGCCACCTCCACTCCACATCTCCAAAGGGGCGTTACGTAATGGCATTGGGTTGGATTAACAGGCTTTTTAGATCCATTTTATGAGATACACTTAAACGGAGAGGGGGGAGAAATCTATAGCCATGGCTTACCCCACCGACTTCATTTCCATGTAATAAATGCTTTCCAATCATTTAAATGAGGGAGCTCTTTGTTAAAAGCCTACCATTTGCGATGGCTAGTGCCCTTGCTCAAATTACCCTATGATGCAGAAGCGAGGCTAGAAGTCTTAAAATTGAGCCTTTTTTAAAAAACAAAAACAAACAAACAAAAAAAAAACCACCACCCCGGCACCGAAATGTACTCTGCGATTACAACACTGCCCTTTTCTGAAAAGGATGAACTATCTGCTGCCGACCCTCTGCATCGTAAGGGTGACATAAGAGTGGCTCTTAACAAACACTTGTAATGGCCACGCAGGTAACTGTCACTTGCATTTGGTCTCTGCACCATAGAACCTGTGTCTCTTCAGCCAGGGAACTGGAGATCTCAAGGAAAGCTCTAAGTATTTTTTTTCTTTTTAATCAAGGTCGCCTAATGAAGTCGGTTCCACAACGAGACACAATACAAAGTGGAGGACATTATATTCAACCTAACTCTGAAAATAGTAACTTTCACATTAAGAATAGAAGCCTCAATCTATTAACTGGGACGTGAAAAACTTTTTTTGAAATTAAAGACTTAAGTCTTCCTTTCCATCGCAGTCACTGCACACTGCTTTTCTTTCAATCATACTAGACACGATGATTTATGTAACGCCAAAGAGATGTCTGTCTTGTACAACAGGAAGCGCTGCCACGCCTCACAAGAGAAAACTGTCACTTTACTGGGTAGAACACCCCACCTCTGCGTCCCCCTTCCTCGACGAACCCCCTCCCCCCAACCCCAACCGTGCTGGCTTCGAGGGCAAAGGTGCTAGAGTAACCCCAGCTGGGAGCCATGACCCCACCCCACCCTGCAAAGCCATAAAGCTCTGCGGGTGATGTCAGCCGAACACCCACCCAGCCAGGAGCGTGGCCACATCTGGCCATCGAGAAGCTGCAGAGAAAGCGGAAACCGTGGAGGGCATCTCCCTGCGCACAGAAGGAGCGAGGAGCGGTGACCCAAAGGGGTGCGCGCCCCGAGCGCAGAGGAGGTGGGAAGGCGAGGCGTCCCCAGAGCGCATTGGGGGGACCCCGCGCCTCCTCGGCCGGCAGGAGCCCCTACTCCTCCTGCCACCGCGGCGGCCCCGATGCAGGCGGGGAGCCAGGCGCGCCCCCACCTCCCACCCGCTGCCGCTCCCCGCG